TTATATACGGACAGTAAAATCGTGCGCGTTCGATACCCATGCGATTATATTGGTTTGGTCACGTCGCGATACACCTACAACTATTTCTAGTAACAATAAACGTTATTAAAATGCACTATGATATTATGCACTTATAGTTATTATGTAGTATTAAACGTAAAGTTTAAAATACAAAGCAATGTCGTATATGGTAGTTTCTTTCAAATATTATCCCAGAGAAAGATAAAGCTCCGAATGTCAAATATGATCAATGAATTCTTTAGAAAATCGTAATTGATATGGTAAAACAGTAAAGTCCGGTTGACATAAGTATAAATAATAGTAAAATAAAGTATAAATATATGGATTCTGTGCGCGCCTCACTTATACGCTGCTTCTATCGTATCAGCTATTTTTTTAAGTCGAGTTTGAAAGCTTTGTAACATCCAAATAAGTAAGATGGCTGCCATATTACTTGGATGTTAGGAAGATTTACACGTTGACTTGTATAAAATCGCTGATACGATACAAGCACCGTACTAGTGAGACGCGCGCAGCATCTATATATTCATACTTATATGGCTGCATTCTTGAATAAGTGTACTTGGTTCAAGTACACTTGGACTATGTCAACACGCCTTAATAGACGTATAAAAAATGAGAAATTTTGTACATTATAAAAGTCATTGACTAAGTCAATATTAATAAAACTGTAAACATTACTAGATTTAGATAAATATTGAAATAAAATTGTTACATGTATCTCATATTATATATTAGAGCTTATACTTATAAAAATTCAATTGGTAATAATCCATTCAGAAAGAACACAGGTATATTTGAAAACTAATAAACAATCATAAAAATGTATATTTGAAAACAAATCATACATTATAATAAATATCCACTAAACATAAAAACGCAATATTTTACCATGAAATTTTTTTCAATTAGTTTCACACATGATTTTTTATTAGTTAATGCAGGTCAAAAAACTTTATATATGTATCTGTAATTACTTATTACCAAAGCAGTGGCGAAATCACTGTAAGAGAAAAAACTGATTAAATGATACGTATCGAGTCATATACCGTATACTTTGTGTCATGAAGGTTTGTGAGAACAAATGCACTAATTACGCAAAACGAGAACAAATAAAAAACGTTTTCCCATGCACAGATACGCCAAAAATTGTTATTAACGTGTGTAGGAAATTGAAGTAAAATCAAAGAAACCTTGCGAATAAGAATGTACACACACGTCAATTATAAATGATTTAACAAAATAGAATGTAGTCTCACTGAGTTTGGTACAGATCTACATTACTACCTTTATATCTAGCGTAAACTACTGGCTCTTGAAATGGATTTTTGGCGAAGATCTGCCGGAAAGTCAAGAATAGAACGAATAACCAACGAGAGAATTAGAGAGATTATGGGCGTAAAGAAAACTATCCTCGATGAAATCGAACAACGCCAACTAATATGGTATGGATATGTAGGGAGAATGGCTGACGAACGTCTACCAAAACAAATCCTAAAATGGACACCGGCGGAAAGAAGAAAGAAAGGAAGACCTAAAGCTACCTGGATGGAGGGCATTAACCGAGCCATGTCCGAAAGAAATTTACTTCCAGGAGATTGGGAAGATCGAAGGCAATGGAGACTGGGAAACGGAAGGCGTAGAACGCTATACAACCGGATATATAATATAATATAATATTTTACAAAAAAATTGTGGATTGTAGAATGTAGCATCGGAGGAGAAAGTTAATCACCTTATAGATCCGTAATGTCCTCCTGTCTGGAGTTATAACTCATCATACAGACTCGAGGTTTTGATAAAAGCCAGTGTCTGAGACGGTTTTACAGAGGTTATTTTTCCATTTTCAATATCAGTCGTTTATGGCACTTATATTTATCGTCTCGGCGCACTTAGTGATGAGGTGATCCATTTCCCCATTTTACCCACAGAATCTGCATTTCGCCGTTGTTCAATCTACTGAGATATTCATTGAGGAGACAATGTCCTGTTAAAAGCCCCGTCGGCGTCGCAATCCGCAGATTATTCTTACTTCAATCAAGGAATATCTTGGATTTTTTTCGGCCGTAAATCCTTTGGAGTGTCTTAGACCATTGAAGGATTCCTATTCGTGGTTGCAGATGGAGTTTTCAAGCCCAAGTAGCATTTTCACGACTTGAGACCACATGTTTACTAAACACAACGTTGGATTAGTTACAGGTCAAGTCATAGAACAATGTAAATAAGAATGTGCCCATAAGAACAATGTAAACACTATTTGGCGCTATTCTTGCAATGGTCGCGACCCAAAACTTTTGAAAATTTCGGAGCGGTTCGGCTTTTTCCGGAATTATATCGCCAAATATTGTTTATTCAAATTTATTATTATTTTCGTTTAATTTTATAAATAAAATACAGTGTGTTGCATACAAGAAAGTTTATTTTATATAAGGACGCATGTATGTAATACCTATGAAACATTGGAAATCGATGTTATGCCACGATCCACGATGGTTTTTGCAGTTCACAGTTCACAGCACAGCTTTTTAAGTTTTTAATGCCACTTTTTCACAATTATCACCGGTTGGAGTAAATAAAACTTGAATTAAACTCACAAGATAGCAATAATTACTTTGAAAATGGACGTTATATAAACACTTTTCGGAATTTCTTTAATGAGAGCGGTTTAGATTTTGAAAGATTATTATGATTTTTGAAGATTCTGACTTTGACAAGAGAAAATTATTTCTGTTTTTGTTTGCCGTTGTTCTTAGCGACCGCTATAGCAGCGCCAGATCGCGTATAACGGTCGCGACCTTTGAATAAGAAGACTAAGGAAGGAGCATATCAAAAATCTTAGGTACACCGCGATGGGACTCAAATATGGCCGACTTAAATTCCGGTTTATCAGTGTCGTTCTAATTTTATTTAAAAAATGTAAAACTATGATGTAGGGTAGACGTGGGGTAAACTCAATAATTTGTTGTTTTATTTTACGTTGTGAATAAATGTTGGTATGTAGTTATTAAAATTGTTATAAAAATATATAATTCTAATAAAAATAGATAAGTTATAATAAGTATTTATTAACACAAACATCCGATGCTCTACTGAAGCAGGTAAGTCAAATTAACGTATCTAAATTCTTTGACATCTAATCTTTGACAAGTAATAAATAAAAGCTAAAATGCAAGAAAAATATATAATTTAGTTAATTTAAGTGAATTTCATAAATGATCGGTTTACTACACGTATGTATATAATATTATATAGTCACTTACTAGCGAAAAGTTGATCCATTATTTCACTCAATTTTTGCCGAGATCTACCGCACGCTACACAACCAACTATTTTAGAGTCTTTTTCGATAAATCGCGATAGTGTCACTGTTAATTTAAGTTCTGCCACAATTTCCATCTAGATTTACTACCTTTATAGAACTATCAGTAGTAGAATAAATAATAAATAACATAAAATAAGCTCCGTAAAGACTGACAAATCCACAAAATTTCAAATCAAATTCAAATGTGTCAAATGAATCGTCAAACAGAACTGTCAAGGATCCCCACCCTAGAGAGCTTTTATGGTGGCTTTTCCGCCCACCATGCATGAATACATGGATAGCATTATGCTCCTTCCTTAGTCTTCTTATTCAAAGGTCGCGACCCAATATAATTTCGCGACCTAAAATTTTTACGGGCTTTCCAATCTAAACTTGTTGCATTTATCTATGGGTCACGTCACTTTCAGGACCTATTCAAGACGTCACTTTTAGTTACGTCACTTTCAGGACTTATTCTAACGTTATGCAAACGTCGTCTGTTTTACTAATTCCAACGTTGTTTAGAATTCCTTTTTCTTACGTTGGTAGGACGTCGAGCCACTACCTTTTTGCAACTGTATTGAACCATAATCTTAAATCTTAAGTTTTCACTAATTTCACTTCATTCTGTTCAGTCAGACAGTTCAGTGCTGTTTTTGTTTTTATAAAAAAAAAACTTAATTAAAATGGGAAGTAAGAAAGGCACATATAAAACTAAATTTAAATATACATCGACATATTACCGATACTTTATCCACTCCCTCGTTTATTTAGAATATAGAGGGCGGGACAAGCAAATTTTGCTTTGACGTTTGACAATTGATGGCCATGTCTAGACTCTAGGATGACTAAATTAGGCAATCTTGCGACTAGTATACTACCTGTTAAGGATTAACTGCGACTTTATTAATCCAGTATGCGACTACTCGAACTACTCCATCTTAATATCCAAAACAACAAAGTGAAAGCCGCCATGTTGTTGAATAAGAAAATGTTTCGTTCCTAAAATAGCAATTCCTGCTTTTTGAATACATTAACTTGAAATATTTGACCCTAAACAACACGCGGAAATTTTTCGACTGCGAATTGCGAATAAATTATTCTCATTTTACTAAAAAAAAATTCAAGAAATTTTTTAAAACTTCTTTAATTTCAAGGCCCATTAGTATTTTTCAAAGTAGAAACAATATACCGTATGATCGAAAAAAACGGCGTCTAGTTGGCTTGGAAATGACGATCGATGACATTTCCCATATAATTTTACATATAAAATGACAGCAATCTTCATTTCATAGCCATCGTTGACGCCGTTTTTATTCGATCATACGGTATTTATCAATAGAGTTGTTTGCGTTTAACTTTTTTGCTTTGGGTAACGAGTTACAGAGTTGGTTAAAGTGTTTCAATAATTATGATCTTCAAACATCACTTAAATACTTTTGCTTTGTTTTCCTTTACTGTCATCTGGCATATGTCTCTAACTAAATCATAAAAATAATGTTTTTACTATAATTATCCCAATTTAGGATAAAACGCGACTTAGACACCATATTATTATAGTTTTGTATTTCTGTAAATTAGGATTTTAAACAACTTTGCAGTTTATGCTAAATTAAACCCCATTCTCAGAACGACGTCGTGTCGCCAGCTACACTGATTGACACTTCAAACGACCAATGGGAGCTGTACTAAATTTAAAATTGACAGCTGTTTAAATTTTGTACAAATCTCATTGGTTCTTTTGACGTGTCGCTGTCCTGAGAACGGGGCTTTAGGCTGCTAGCCAACGTAGCTATCCAATGTCGTTTCGACCCAAAAATTATTCTCCAAACTAGTGCAAACTAGGGTTGGCACGAGGTTGTGCCGACGTTGCGCCCCGACGTTTGGTCACGTGACACAACGTTGTCCCGACGTCCAAATGCTGCTTGGGAGGTTCTTGTGTTCTGCTTTCATTTGGTTTCCATAGGCGGAACGGTTCTAGTCCAGTTAATGAAGTGTTCGTTCCTTTTCTAGATAGTTCGTTCCTTTCTAGCTTTCTTTGCTTTTTTATAACATTCTATCCTTTGGTTCATAGTAGGAGGACCTTTTTTGCCTAATTTGTTCAGCTCTTTTAGGCATTCTTTGACCAACTTCGAATTGATGCTTACTGAGTTGATCGCTCTTAAGGCTGCTTAGTTCCTTGCTAAGACAAGTTATGTGCATCTTTGGATAGTGTAGATTTCTGCCTGAAGGATGCTGGGGTAGGTGCCCATTGGTTCGGAGTATTTAGTTTTCGGCCCAAATACTCCTATCCCTCTTCCTACTTTAGTTTTGGAAGCATCCAGTATACCACTGTACTGTACATGTTCCTGACTATCACAGTTAGTGCCGAGATTAGTTCTATCTCTGTTCTAATATTTCCCGATTTGACAGTTGGCTTGATCATTCATTGATTTTATTCTTTACTCCTGCGTGGAGCATAGATGGCTTCAATAATAAACGTTCGGTTGTTGACAATTGATATGACATCTCGCCATGATCGGTTTACTGCTTCAATCTCCTTTTAATTGTCCTTTCCCATGTATGTCTTGGACGACCAATTCTTCTACTGCCTTGTGGATTCCACTCAATAGCTTTAAAGTGTGACCAAGCCACCTCCATTTTCTAAGTTTGATATCGTTATACACCTGCCTCTGGTTGGGTTGGTCTGGTAAGTTCTAGTAAGTTACTTCCGAATTCAGTTTAAATTCCATCATTGGCATCATCTGTCACAAACACATTAAGCGTCCCGAACCAGTCCAGTTGACTTCGAAAATACTATACAGATACAGGTTTGATGAAAAAGGCAATAATTGATAAATAACCACAGATTAAAGTAAATCTCAGAAAATATCTTCTTAACGGTAACACGATCACCTACGTACGTCACCTACGTATTATTATCGCTGAAAAAACCTTGGAAATAGCAAAGAAATAGTTTAGAAAGTCCAATAAACATTAGTTGGTAGTATTTACTATAAAATACTATAGGCTATTATTATACTTGCTATAAAAATAAACAAATGTAATTAACATGGAAAAACAAGATCAATAAATAAATATATCATTACAATATGTTATTATCACAAAAAATATTATTTATTAGTCTATTATTCTTAAAAGATATACAGAGTGGCCAAACTTTCAATCTTTTAGTATTAAAAGTATAAATATTTATTAGTGTGGTAATGAGGAATCAATCGTTACTGTCTTATTCAGAAAGTCTTATTCAGAAAGAATTTTCCATTAACATACAAACTGGATAAAATATTCTCATTTATGTCAGCATGAGAAAAAACAATATGGCGATATTATTATATAACTTGGTAATATTTGAGGGGTAGTTTCATCTCGTTGG